TTGGTTACCAATAAAATATAATTATTCAAAGAACTTAACAGGTATAAAGATTTTACGAATTGAAAATATAAAACCCAAGTTTCGTAGAAAAATTGAATTAAACATTTGAACTCCAAGTTTTGTAGCGAATTGAAGTAAATGTACCTTTGCCAACAAACATACAAGACGTAAAATGATGTTAAAAATTAAAGATATTATTAATCAAAGCTTATATATATATATATATATATATATATATATATATATATATATATATATATATATATATATATATATATATATTAGGAAGAATCGTTAACTGCTAAACAAGGACAAAACAAAGAACAAAACCGATATGATAACAACTCGGATAATTTGGTTATTTATTCCTCCAAAAAAATGTCATCCAAAAAAAATCATTTGCGAGCGAAACTAGTGTTCAGACATAATGTTTGTTCAGGCGACCAGACGAGGAAGACAAATGGATGGATGGATCGAAGGTGATGTGCTGCGGTGTTGTTAGCTGGCTGGCTGGCAGGCACATTGTGCAATAATACCATATATACACAAATGAATGGTTTCGTGACACAAGCTCCATCTCATCGTCATGTTACATCGCCACGCTTGGAAAAATTTATTGGTTGACATTTCCTAGTTTTGGCAATCTGATCGAGTAGCCGTGATGTGGTCAGATCTCAAATTTTGTAGTAAGTTTTATTACTTTGTGTGCTATTCGTTGGGAAAAATTATTCTCGATAAAAATAAATGTGATTGCCAACAATAAAAATATCGTAAAAGACAAAGCATAAAAGAATTAGATGCAAATGTTGGAATGAGACATAGAAACCAACGCTCCCCGATAAATAAAAAACAGAAAACGGATCAAGCAAGAGAGAAATCACCACCGCTACCTTCCTAATTTTGCAAAAAGGTTGCTCCACGGTTGATGCAATTGCAAATACACTATTAACGCATCAGTTCCCTGAAAACAAGCGGCACAGACGCATATTAAGCATAACAGCATAGAAACATAAAAGTAGGCTTAAAACTTACATACAAACTACAAAAACATACACCTACACAAAAACATAACCGCATCATCCATACACATGAGCGATAAAGATAACATCCCACACAATTTCAGTTATCTTCATTAGGTAACCTAGACATGATATCCAACGCTGTAACATACAACCATGCCCACGTAAATGTATTGAACTGTGTGCCTCTACATACATGCATACATACGATCAGCATTGGTAAGGGTAACATATGCAAAAATAATAATGCAAATAGATCAGAAACACATTATTTCCTATCGTACATATCGTACATTCTCATTTTTTTGCTCCAACGATGTCACACCACACACATACACACACACACACACACACACATACACACGCACACTTATATGTGCACATGTATGCCATATATTATCCATAGATATATTATCTGAAAGAGGCAAGACAAAAATGTAACAATGTTGGAACAGCAAAATGGAACCAACAACACTGTGCTAATGAAGATTTAAATTTAAAAATAAATAACAATTTCAAAAGTGATTTGGCTTGTTTTGAAAATTGCTGTTGACAACTTGGCATACATTTTCAAAGTCAATTACAGATATATCGCGCAATGTAACAAGGAAATAGGAACATGGCTGAAAACATAACATGTATCAAATATTATCATCCAATCACAGTTACACCACACCATACAATTCATCATTTCATCGTCACCAACAGCATCAGCATGTCACCACAAACACCGACAACACGGGCAGAATCTTCCGCGTTACTTAGTACGAGACGGATTTGTTGTTAAGGTCAAGGACTACCTCATCGCTGATGTGAGCGAAAGCTTGTGCCAAACCAGAAAAAGTGATTGAAACATTCGAAATTTGAACAGTTAATATTTAATGCATGAAAATTTTTCTATAAGCTATTGCTCAGGTGAAGATTTAATTTTGTATTCAACCTTTTGCAAATCTCACACAGATTAATTTTTTGCATCTCAGATATTGTTCTACGAAAAGATAAAAATTTCTGAATAAAAATTTTAGCGAAATTAGTTTTTTAGTTGACACGAGTTCGACATTCTGTTGCACCATCTACATATCATCTCGGTTGCAATGGCAATATTTTAAAATTCCGCACTAAGTAGGCTATAAAAAGTTAAAAGTCCACTAAAAATTATTCTGGTTCGGCAGTATTGAAGAGAAATGTTTAACACAATAAATATATAACCAAAGCTTGTCATAATCAATCAAGGTTCGCTATGTGTGTATGCATTCACATGTACGTTCCTAATGTTTACCCTCAAGTTTGCAAAGTAAGAATCACAGGCAAACATCAAACGATCATTAACAAGAATTTTTAAAATAGATAAAAAATTTGATGAAGCATAATCATAAGAACATTGAACTTGTTCGTTATACATAATTATTATGTACGCCTATGAGGGCATGTACGTATGTATGTAGTGTAGATACATGAATGTGTATGTTTGTTTGTGTACGTGTGCGTGTGTGTCTTACAATGTTATGATCATAAAAAACGAAACACAACTGTAGGCTTATATGATGTGCGAACGTTGGAACGGATGCACCGAAGATTGCAGTCACCTGGCTTTGTCTCGGTTGACGGCAATAACACCATGTATGCTTATTTACGTACCTAGCTAGCCATGTATGTTTGAATCATTTATGTATGCGGCTTGTTTCTTCACGCATTTATGTGTGTTGTGTATGTGTGTTGTGTATGTGTAAGTGTGTATATGAGTCTGTGCACGTGTTTTAGATGATGAACACAGGTTGAGAGTAAGCAGAAAAATATAACGATGACGATAAAATAAAAAAAATTAAAATTTTAGAAATGGGATGATTGATTAAATAAATAATCGAATAGATAAAAGACAAACAACTGAGCACACAAATCAACAAACAAAAATAATAAAGCAAATAAATTTATTGTGACAGATTGGCAAAACACATTTTAATTTAAAAACTGTACAGACACATGAATGAACGAACAAGTAGGAGATAAAAATGGCTGAATAAACAAATGACGAATAAATAAAAAACGTAAGGGACGTTGAACTTTCCATAACGGTTGGTGATCATTTAAGGAAAAATAATGATGCTGATGAAGAAACAAGCAAACAATCGACTGACAGAATATAAAGATAAGAATGATGATACTGCCCATTCCCTTAGAAATACCAACAACAACACACACACCCATTCAGATACGCGTGAATCCCAGCTTCACGCACATTGCACGGTATACACCGACGATAAAAAAATGTAACTGATTATTTTTTGTTTAAAAAAATATGAAATGATAAATAAAAACCTGAGTTTCGTTGAACTCAGGAATGTAAACGGATGGAACGTTTATTTATACATCTCCATTTATTTATTTGTTGTTTGTTCTTCATCTATTAATTATTCTTTCTTCAAATATTTATTCATTTTTTTTAAATTACCATTTTTCTACACGAAGAGGTTGACGAGCAAAAATGCAGCAAAAAAATAATAAACAAATGAGTGCGAGTATGGAATGTGATGTGGAAAAATTCTTACGTGATAACGATAACGACGATGATAAAGATGACGATGATGATAATAAAGATGATGATGACGACGATGACGATGGTGATAACAATATGATGACAATGGTAATGGCGAAAACCTAAGATGACGATGATGACGCATTCAAGTATAAATATTATCGACTATGTGCGTGTGTGTCTGTGTGTGTGTGTCTGTGTGTGTGCGTGTGTGTGTTGTGTGCCAATTCATCTGAATAGTTTTTATAACCAGTTACTGGCCTGCAATTTTAATGCTCGTTGAATATATGAAGAAGACTTATTTCAATCTGCTAGAGATGAAGGATATAAAAATCACATCAAAAATAAAATGATTAACGAGGATGACGACGACGACGACGATGGTGATAAAAATAAGAAACTAATGATAACAACAACTGCGATGATGTGACAATAATGATGATGGTGAAGATGAAGGTGATGATGGTGACACAAAAAATACTGATAACAAACAGTGATGATCAGAAAAGAAGAGAAATGACGACAAATGATGATGATGATGATAAAAGTAATTTGATAGATTAAACGCCAGAACAATCAAAGAATCTATACGGCAAATTAAGCCTCAAGCTATCCATACAACAAATGTATGTACGTCTGTTTGCCAAGCCGATCTCATCCTAATCATCATCATTATGACCACCATCATCATTATCATCAAGACTGACTCCATCTATGAAACCAACTTTATCCAAGAAAACAAGATGGCAGCGACGCCGTATATGGAGTTGCAAAGTGGTCACCCGCCGCAAACACAACAAATCGTAACTGTCATAAACACGATGAGGTCATTTTCCGTCAAGAAATGTTCAGTAAATGTCAGTCAGTTGATGATGTCTCTAGCTATGGACAGGAAGAAAAATTACGTGAAAAACATCACTTCGGATCCATCGCAATCGAAACTTTAATCACCTGCACAGTGCAAATGTGTGTTTGAGTGTGGTGCGCTGTGGCTGATCCAGGGGGACCTAGGGGCCGCATTGCCTGTGAGCAGTGTTCTATAAACAATTCAGTTAAACTCAGTTTTTGGACTGAGGTATTTATCACTTTTAGTTTTTAGACGTGAATATTTATCATCATGAACCACGCAACGATGCGCTGGTTCAGTAAGTTAAGCTGATTCTAGATTCATGCAGTAATCAATTCCTTGTTCTTAAAAAAGTATATTTTGTAATGGAAATCCACGAGTTTTTGATATATAATATATTGAATCGACTGAATATTCATCATTATGTTTTGCTATAGTTTGATTTTTTTGGAATACACAGCGTTGATGCAGTGCATTAAGCTGGTAATTTGTTATCCACAAAATAATGAAGCAAAATAGGTCACCAGCCGAATTTTAGCCACATTAGTACAAATTTGGTTAGTTTCTTCAACCCCTGTCAAATTTCAAAATTTGAACAGTTTTAAAATTTTGCCCACTCCCTCGTCAAAATCGTCTAGATATGCCCATGGTGGTGTGTGTGTGTGTGTGTGTGTGCGTGTGTCTTTGTCTGAGTGTGTGTGTGTGTGGTGAGTGGAAGATTTTTTTCTCTTTTCGGCGCAATTATGTGTACAAAGGCGTGCGTATGGAGTATGTTTTTGAATCAACTGAAGATTGCAAGTCTCAAAACTTATAACATAACCCAACTGAACATATACGCACTCGACCGCACATTCTGGAAAGTGTTTGCGTGCATACACTACACACTCATGAATAGTATTTATATCTCTGGATAAATGTCAGTGCTATGTATCTATATTCATCAAATAGATGTAAGTATATGCATATAAACATAGTATGTATGAATGTGAATGTATAACTTATACACAAACATATACATACAATTACGTACATGTGTATAAGCATACAAGATAAAAATACACAGATACATACAAAACATACATATAAGCAACTACGTATATAGGTATATAAATACATATACATATGTATACAACTACACTAGGCACGTATGTATGCATATATAATGTATGTGTGTAGAGAGATTGATGATTGCGAGAGTGTCATTAAAATATTCATAAGTAGAACATTATGACTTACTGGCTGCAGATTCATTGGCTTGCGTTGGTCATTCAACAGAATGGTAATGTAGTAGTGATCGCCGATGGTGGTAGAGATAATGATGTTAATGAGATGATGACTTCGATGACGTTTATGATGGTGATGGTAGTGTTGATGGTGATGATGATGACAACGACGATGGGGATGAATGAGACGATAATATTGGTGTTGGTGATGTTGGTGATGAAGATGACGATAATGACGATAGATAGTGTTGATGGTGATTAAAGTGACGTTAAAAATGATGATAACGACAAATGATGAATATGAGATTAATGTAGATTGAGAGAACGAAACAATATCAGTAACAAAATTATGATACAATAGAAAAGAAACATTAACAGATAAAAATGTCAATAAAACGACATGACGTCACATCATCGTTGTCATCCTTATCATCTTAGTCATCATTATCACAATCACCACCATTAAACATTATCGTAATAATAGCTATCTATCATCACCAAATCATTATCACATCACACATGACAGCGAACGAACCGAGCAGTGAGATAGGTTGGGAGTTGAATGACCCAGTGAACCCCTCGTGAACTTTAACCTCGCACTCGATATGTTGCCCGGTCCATCGTACAGATTCGATGTTGATTGGCTGAGTAAGTTTACACCTGAATGATTGATCCATTGAAAAAATTAATGAACAACTGATTAAATAAATCAATGAAGGAATGATTGATTTTAAAAGAAAATTGAACAAAATGATTTGTTCCAAACAAAATAAAATAAATAAACAAATAAACAAAGATAGAAAAACAAAAATCTTAAAACAAAATCATTTATGTAGAACCAACCAGATGTGGATTTAGTTGCCAGTCTAGAAATTTGCGGAATGCAAATGCTGTTTCTCCTTGTGGAATGTCCCAAAGAAAGCGGAATCTTGTAATGTTGATAATAGGGCAACAATGAATCAAAAGCATTCTTCAGCGGGTTGGCATTTCCGGCACTGCATGCGACAGAAGGTGATGGAGAGTTGGAGGATGGTTTCGAAAGGCTGGTGGAGTGGTAGTGGTGCAGGTGTAGAGATTTTGGTTGTCTGGCAGCAGGTTTCGTAGACGAAGTTGATGGAGCTGGAGACGTGTGCATCGGTGGCTGGCTGAACTGATGAGACATGCTGCAAGTTGGAGAAGGTGAGGGTGAGTTACTGCTGCTGTTGTTGCTGCTAAACTTGTCGTTACTTTCGCTGTCGTTGGCCGTCGAGATCAGGGGTTCGTCATGGTGGTCTGACTGAAATTGAAATGAAAATGTCAGTTACGTGGAATGTTTGAAAAACATTTGAGATTTATAAAAGTGGTTTGAAAACGTTTATGCTAAGAAATGTATAATCTTCCTTAACAAATGTATTAACATATCATTAAAAAGATATTGTAAGAAAATATAGGCAACTAAATAATTATTATTACTAATTAAATAACCATCAATAATAAAGAAAGTAATTATTGCATTCGATGGAATAATGATTTTTTATTTAAGCAGGTCGAATCCATCCAATTTCAATTCAATCGTTTTTCTTCTTTAGTGAGAAGCATTTGACATGTCAACAACAAACTTCCAGCTTGAAAAGAGAAAAAAACTGAAAATGTTTAAAAATTAAATGAATAAAAATCGAAGTAGAAGAAAAAACGAAAAAGAAGAAAAAAGAAAAAGCAGGAGAAAATGACAAGAGCAGGCAATGCATCAGTTGACCTTCATCTGTGCAAGCATCAACAAATCCCAGGAAGGTGTACACACACAATTGTGTACGTACTAGCAAGTGGAAGCGACTGTCAATGTCAATGCGACTCATCAGTTTTGTTGCATGTACGTGTTTATGTACGAGTAAAACAAAAACGAGCTCTCGTTTGTACGCAAACATGTGCCCACTGAATGATCATGTACGAGCATATTTAAAGAAGTATGGAAAATTCAACTTGAAAACAACAGTTGATCAGTTACACTTGCGGTATAAAAAGCAGCTCACTGCTCATGCCTCGTGTATTTATTTTCATTGATGTTTACACCTGAGTGTTCTTACTGACGCGCAAACAAAAGCTTTCGGAGGAGAAATGTACTGTTGGTGATGAATGTTGGTGGGCTCGTGAAAGATGATGAGTACACTAATAAGTACAGTACCTCGTCACTACAGTTAGCAGTTTTTCCAACAACTCTTATCACACGGCTGAATAACTGAAGTGGCGTTGGCATACGTGATGTCGACAGCGTATGCCTTACAGTAGAGGAAGGTAGGTCGTCATTATTTATAACAATTTCAACTTTTGCGGAGATCTATTAGGTAAGAAACAAACTATGTATAAACAAATAATAAAAAAAACGAACCATATTGATTCAAGAATGACTCTTATGTTAATACATCACTGATTTGATTAGGTCGCAAACGTTGATACAGCGGAGCAAGGTGAAAACAAGTCAAGGTGATGAGTATTAATACAGCAAATGCTGCAATGTGAAAGTGGAATTAATGTATAGAAGAAGACATGAAATCAAAGAATGAACATTACTCAAAAACCATTAACGTGATTGCCGATGACAGCAAACTGATGACATGAATGTCAAGATTATTTCAAAACACTGGAATGAAGGCGTCCGTGCTGAAAACAATGTAATGAGTGGGAGAATGATGGGGATAATGATGATGATGAAGATGATAATTATGATGATGAGAATAGTGATGATGGGGATGATGATAATAGTGGTAAAGATGATGATGAAGATGAGAATGGTGATGAAAATGATGACGATGATGAAGAAGATTGGGACGATGATAAAGAAAAACGAATGATATTTAAAGCAATTAGCACGCAACATGACGTAACAATGGCCACGAGCAGTAACGTGGTAAGATGAATTATAAATGGTGCAATGCTGTCGCTGGCGATGACACCGATGATGATGACTGATAAAAACGATAATGGTGATGACTTTGAAAAAAACAATGATGAGAAAGTTATGACGATGATGGTGATAAGCGGCACAACAATGAATAGCATAATAATGCTAAAACTGGCAAAAACCGATATTAAGTTGCGTGGCAAATCTAAAATGGTAGCTGGCTAACATTGTGATAATTTCACAGAAGGCGGTCACAATGAAAATAATATAAATTGTCATTTCAATCAGCACAGCAGCGTTTTTACTAAATACAAATACAAAGTATAACAGCGTTCGTTCTTAGAGGTTAGTTAGATTCACACTTTCAAGGCACTGACACGCAAAGAATATGAGAGCGCACGTCGTGCGTGACTGAAGAAATCATTTCTATAATGACGTCGTAAATTCGACAATGACATCGAAATAATATCCATAATGACGTTGTTAATATGGCGAGAACAAAAAAAAAAAAAAAAAAAAAAAAAGATAAGAAGAATGTCAACAGCAAGAGAATAACGAAAATGCGATGTGACGTGCTGAATAGTGAGCGAGAGATGGAGCTATTGTGGAGAAGTTGCACATAGCAACCTCAATTTTATCAGGCAATGCTCCAACAAAAAAAATATTCGGTATGAAAGTAAGTTATTCCTATTACTGTTACTTGTTTCTTAGCAACTGTAACCATTTAAGCGCACTTTTAATAGAATGAAACGAGTAAAACAACAAAAATGCTTATACTAAAAAAATCATTTATAGAAAACAGCAGCAGCAGTAGTAGTAGTACTAGTAGTAGTAGTACCCTCATTTTTGTTACATGAAATGTTACAAACTCAATCAAGTCGATACTCCACACTGACCAATCCATCAAAAAATATTGAAATTATTAACATTGCTTTTTTAATTATGTAGCAACATGTTTTCATCATTACCTTAATTATGTTATTAATAATTATAAAACAATATATTATATAGAAAGAGATTGAATCGATAATGGCTCAGCTCATTTTCACGTTATGTTGTGTTATATTTTCGAAAAAATTCAATTACAAATTTGTAATACAAAGTTGCAGTAAGCTGCTTTATAAAAAAAAAAGTTAGATTACATGTAAGTACAAATGTTTTTAAATTTTTTTTCAAACTTTCGAAAAATTTCATGATTTCTTCTACAATTTCTAGCTATTTTCACAAAATATGTTTAAAAGTTTTGTGAAACTTTCAACGCCAAGGCAATTAGGATGATGATGACGATGATGACGTCAATGATAATGACGATGACATATACAAATGCATGTGAATTTTTGCTCTCTCAAAAAATGTTAAACCACCAAAAAAGGAATTAAAAATCCGGTGGCGATAATTCATTTAAAACCTTCATCCAACAATAGCCAGCCTTATTGAGTTGCGACTACCACATCCAACAATTTCAGTCATTTTAATTTTTTACTTTTTCACAAATTTTATAATTTTTCCAACAAAATTGTATTCCTTAGAGGTTGTTGTTGACATTTCACTCAAACAGTAATCGTTTGACAAAAAGTTGATACTACCACGGCAAAACGTTAAAGTCGCCAAAGATATTTAATAGTTCAAAGTTTTTTTAACTCACCCAAATACATTTTTAAACTCCTTTCAATAAATGCTACATTTATTATTGAAGCATTCGAAACCCTCCGACAACTATTCTTGCGCGTTCGAAAATTAAAATTAAACGTCGTATTGCTGGCTTGCGCGTCCTCGTCGCGATCATACTCGCACCATCGTCCTAAACAAAGTTGCGTGCGTGCGTGAGTGAGTGCTCGCATGTGTTGGAAATTGCGTATTAACATTTGCATACTAGATGAAAACTAATTTTAAATTTAAATTAACTTTCATTCTGCCATCAAATTTTGACATTTGCATCACAAAAACGACAATTTCAATTATAAAAATAATGCTTTCCGAGCTGAATCATTAATTCCCTTTCAATTTTTTTCTCAACACAAAAAGTTTTGAAACGAATTAAAAAGTAAATTAAACGTTTAGTTTTGTAAAGGTAAAAATACGCTAATTATATAATTAGTTTGTAAAGTGAAATAATTTAAGACTAATCAAAAAAAAAAAAAAAATTAATATTTTCGAAGGTTATGATGAATCACACACACGAACGCTCTGATCACCCAAACGAAAATGTTTTTTAAAAAAATAAAAAACCAAACTGATGCTAAATTCAAGTTAATGTAGCAGAAGTGTGACAAAAAATAATAATAATAATAATGATAATAAAAAAAATAAATGAATAAATAATAATGACAGGTCAACATTTCTTATTGGTCTGCACACATTCTCGTCTGGATGGTAAAATTAAATTGTAAAGGAGACAGTTTAAGACCTTTGCTAAATTGAAATGAAGTATTAATTTAAATAACGGAAGAATAAAAATTTACTATGAATGCTTGGTGTCTTCCGCTTGTATGTGTTGCGTGTGTATTGTGTGTGTGTGTGTTGCGTGTGTGTGTTGTGTGTGTTGGTGGTTGATCTGTGTGATTTAATTGTATGTGAGCGTGTGCGAACACAACCGTTTTTTGAATAGTTTATACCAAATTTTAAACAAAAAGTCTTTAAAGCTTGCTTCGAAGTTCAACCTTGAAAACAGAATCTAAAAATCTATTTGTCCTTTCGTCTATTCAATCGGTTACTCGTGCATTGTTTAATTCAACCATAAATTCATTAATTCATTCATTCATTCATTGGTTTGTTCGTTCATTCTTCATAAATGGATGTATTCATTCATTCTTCATAAATGAATGAATGAATGAATGAATGAATGAATGAATGGATGGATGAATGAATGAATGAATGAATGAATGAACGAACGAACAAATGAATATTCGTTCGTTCGTTCGTTCATTCATTCATACATTCATTCATACATCCATTCATTCATTCTTTTATTCATTCATTCATCAGGCCCACACTAAAAGCTATAAACATTTATTAGACAATTTAACACTAAATAAATACCCTTCACTGCATTTGTTGAACTTATCTTTGAAAAGAAATTTATATGCATTGCACGCCCATGCTGAACGTAAAAGTAGAACTAGCAGTGCTATCTTGTAAAAGTCACGTCATACGCATGTATTGAATCATAAGCAGAGCTTGAGCTTGAAGCAGAGAATAAACAATGTGTGACATTATTACGACAACGAACGATGAAATGAGATGTCAACGAAAAGTGTTAGTCATTTGCAACCAACTTCTTGAATCTCCATGAATCATCGCCACTCCTATCATTTTATTATAAGAAACAAGTCCCTCCGTGTATTATAAGATAGATTGCACTGCGGACCTTGCTCAGCTGACTCAACGCTGCCAGAGCGAAGCCATCAATTTATTTGAAACTGCGGCAAATGAAAATGTTAGTGTTAAGACTTTTCACTGTTTATAAGACAATCCTCTCAAATAAATTTATACTCATTCTAATAGAAACATTTCAGCCTTATTTTCAACTTGCATCAGCGTCTTTAGATCTGCTTAGAAAATATTTAGAGATCCATATATTATACCCAGCATCAAATTACAGCCATTCTCATTTTACTTCAAAATATATTGTTTCTAATAAATACAATTTATCAAAGACATCTATAAAAAACGGTTGAAATAACATAACTATCGCATGAACATACAACAAAGAATGTAAAACTAACAAAAATGTATTTACAGTAGCGATGGCGAAGCTGATGATAATGCGGTTACATACAGACTGTTGTTGTTTATTTCAATTCTTACCACTGTGCGTAGTCAGTCTAATGAATATAAATCGTACACGGTTGGCATTAAAAGAAATCTAGAATAAATAACCCTCAGTGATTTATTTACTCACATAACCATCACCAACATCATCATCAACAACACCACCAACATCATCATCAACATCATCATCAATGCAGTCATCGTATATAATATCATTATCACATTATCATCATCAACATCATCAATATCTTTATC